ATTTTTATACTCCGAATTAAATTAAGATATTATATGAATTATATTAATGTTTTCTATATATAAAAATTTGTAATTTAACCTTTAAAATTAATTAATTATTATTAAAAATATTTTTCAGTGATGTAAAAAATGTTAAGACAATGCTTTATAATGTAAGTAAACAAATATTTATGTAATTTTTTACAATTTAATATCTAGTAAAATGTCAAAAAAGAAGGTAAAATCACAAAAGAATTGTAAAGTTTTATTAGCAATTTATTTTAAAATGTATTATAATTTATACAAATGACTGTAATAATTTTAAAAAGTCAACATTAACAATAAATTATTATACTATACATTTTAATTTTATCTTGAAATTTAATTATCGCAAAAATGACTTACTATTGCATTTCGAATAAAATTCAAAATATTATCTGAATAAAATAATATTTAGTTTAATATAGAAGTTATGTTTTAAAATATCTGTTAAATTACGAATTAATTAAAAAAATCGATAAAGCAGATATTTTTAATATGCGTTAAAAGATGATCTTAAATCCAAATTCTTACGGCTATTTATCAGTATTTTGAACAATTCATCATGGCAAAGTCTAAGATATAAAAATGTTTGTGAATATCGTGATAAGTGTTACTCGGGGCCTGCTAAACCTCAAGGTGAAGTAACTTGTCATCACTTTCTAAACATACAGTACAAGGTGTAACGATATGACCTTTCGGCATACCATAAATGATTTATTAATTCTTAATGTAACAGAATTCTTTGAGTATAAACACAGCTGCTTCTAACAATCTTTAACTTTGATTAAAAGTTCCATTATCTTTCTAAGATAACGATTCATTCTTTAACAATCATATTGTAAACTATTTCACTAAATGGTATTTGGTGAAGCATTTTAAAGTGAAAAATTCTTCATTTGTTTTCTCTTCTATAAATTATGAGAGTGATTGAAATTATCAAAAATCGATCTAATTGACTGTTTATTTACCATCTTGTGTTATTAATTTGATTATTAATTAATTTCTTAATATTAAAATGTAGTACAAGGATTTTTTTAAGGAAAAAACAAGGGATTACTTATCCATCTTCACCAATATCGTATTGATCTTATCTAAATATTTATTAATTAATTCATTAGTTATTTTTAAATGCAAGGCCAAAAGTTTTTTTGAAATACTAAGATTTATCATTTATTATTATTCATCTTAAAGCTTTAAATATAATTATTTAAAATATTAAACTGCGTTATTTTTTAAAAATATTAATTATATACATGTAAAGAAAGAAAAACTAAAATCGGTATCCAGAATTGTCTGATTTTAAAGCTGTAGGCCTATTTATTCAAAAGATTTTGTGAAATTTACGAATTTACTTCAAAATATATCAAATATTTTACTAAATAAATAGTAACTAGAGAAATTGTGTAGATTGTTCAACTGATAAGTGACGAAAAGTAAATTAATAATTAATGTATCTAAATCAGAAAGATGCAATCTCGGAAGAATTAGGCTACATGATATTCCTAGATAATGCCATGTTCTTCCGCGTAAGATGTAATGATATTTTACACTTAATTCTTTTTGTTCTTCGAATAGTGAAGCAAAAACTATTTATATATCTATAATAAAACTATTTAATGTTTTTCCTGTAATAGTTTTAAAAAAATAACTTGATTTTCAGGGTAAATGCATAGCATTTTAAAATATTGAGAATCAAAAATTTTCTAAACAAGGTTGATAACCTTATAATTAATTAAAATTATATTATCAGAGGTTATGATCTTTTATCAATTAACACTATGTTTATAACCTTCATTATATATACAATTTACCATTTAAATAGCATTCATTCATTAGTTAAATGAAAGAAATAATTTATTAACACATTAAATGTAAATCTGTTATTTTAATATACTGTACACTATTAACGCTTTGTAATAATTTTTAAATCTAAGTAAGGAGCTTATAAAATATTTAAATTAGTTTATTTAAAATGAAATTATAAATAATGTATAAAATATCGTAAAAAATTCTGCTCAGAGATGTTGGTATGAGGAATTAGAGACTAAATTTATCAGATTTCAGTATATATTATTGAAGTAGCTCTACTTAAATCGTTCTATTAAACCAATTTAAATTATAATAATCTATAAATATACATAACTTATAAATAGATCGTATATAGGTTATATTTAAATATGTATGTAAACTTAAGGATAAAGATCCGAATTAATTGCTCAGTAAGTTGAACGTAGAAAGAATGATTTAAGTATCAAAATTTCAAAAATAATTAATGCTAAATTTTAAAAAAATTATTAAAAATAATCTGAATATTATACATATTCAAACAAAAAGGAATTTGGAATAAGATATATTAAATATAAATTTTATTTACTGTTATAGCTTCGATATAAAATCCGAATAATGATACATTTTCAGAATCATGTGAAAATTACATGCCTGAATATGTATCCTTATTAAAATTCTGTATTTCAATGCATATTTTTATACTCCGAATTAAATTAATAACAATCATTTAAAAATAAAATGAATAATATATGTTGATGTATTATTCGATAAAAACTTTGAAAATCATATAAATTTATAAATTTTCAAAAAAATTAAAATTATAAACTGGTCCTGTAATGGGCATTTTAAACTATATAACATACATTTACAGCACATTGTTTTTGATGCTGTCTTACCTTACTCTGCGTCACATCAGTCTAACACAAATTGATCTGAATTAATTGGAGTTTCCGCTAATGTTATAATTTGGTAAGGCCAAAAGATAATATAAGTCAGAGTGCCTTTGACTTATATTTCCGGTCTTAACTGATTGATATAGGGTCGAAAGGCAAGAGTGCAGATCACAATACTGATTTCTATTTAGTATCATTATGAGGATTCTCATTTGTAGTTAATTTAAAGCTTATCAAATTGTAATTTTCGTCTAAAAAAATTAATCATTTACTTTAAAAAATATTATTTAGCACAGTTTATATTGTTCTTTCTTGATTTTTAAATTTTATCTTGTTTGAGGACGAGAAATTAATAACGGATTTAAATTATTATTTTTTATTTTTAGTTTGAAAAAATTTATAAAATACATTTTATAATTACAATATATAGCTTGTGCTCTTAAAATTTTTTTTTATTACTTTATTGAATTAACTTATTTTTAAATGCGAAACTTAATTAATCATTTTGGAATGTAATAATTAAACTTCGAATAAAAATTTATGCTTTATTGTTATTATTAAAATTTATTTAAACTTACGCTAGTAAATAGGCCTACATTTAGATTATATTCTAAACTTTAATATACTTTCTCATAATGCTTATTTATTATAATATAGATTTAATTTGTCAAAAATATGTCTTATGTCACATATGACGTTAAATTTTTGTGTTTATAAGTGACATATTACGTATGAACGATGTTTCTAATTTTAACAATAAATAAATAATATGGTGTTTTTATTTTAATTTTCTCAACATTTAAGCACATTTCTATGCCACGGTATTGAAAAAGATCGCCATTTAAAAGACATAAATTGAAATCTTACTTTTAAGACTATTCATTATGAGACAAGATAATATTATATTTTAAAATATAATAATTGCCATTGATTCTTTTTTGAATACGAATGGTCTGATAGGAATTGGGTTCGAATATCTATCAAATTTTTTATGAATATGATAGTAAAATAATTATCCCTTTACTGCTCAATAATTCGGGAATACACAAAATTAACTATTAATAATTTTATTGTTTTTTTATCTAAAAGAAACTATTATTTAATCATAAAAACCTTACATATTTTAAAAAAAAACTTACGAAGGGAATTTTTAAGACAATATTTAAATTATTTTTGTATAATTTTTAAAAATTTACTTTAATTCAAAAAAAAAAAATTAAAAGAAAAATAGTTTCTACATACTTTTTAAAAGTTTATATTTCAGTAATAAATGAACCATTTCAGGTCAAAAAGGCACTGAAGAAATGTGTGCGTGATGTCATTCTCGTAACTATAGATGATAATAATCTGGATGATGTCATTAAATTATAGTTTCCTAAGAGTATTTTGTAATAGCATGATCCCAAAATTACGTAACGCTACACGTGGTTTGTTTGAGGAGGATAAATTAATTCATTTAATGATTAATACGTTAAATATAAATAAATAAGATAAATTTTCTCTGGGAACGATTTTTATTAATTTACTTTGATTATTATTTTTTTGTTAACTCTCTTCCCTGTGGGCACTAAGAGGGCCTTTTACAGCAAGTCCGTTATGGGTTCACCAGGCTCATAATAGGGAGGCCGGGTGATGAGAGACAGGGCCCAACATTGATTATTTTTATTTAAAAAATATAAAATACTGAAAATCCAATTTAATTTTTAATTTTTTACTAACAATATTTTTATATAATAATAATAGGAAATAATAGTAATAATGATAAATTGTAAAGCTTTATTATTTAACAAGATAGGATTTTAATGGTAAGAGAAGAATTTAAAGTTGATTCAAATTCTGTTATTTTTATTTATATTTATTTATTTAATTTTATCGTTATTACGTAACGATATAAAATGACATTATCTATGTATATGACAAAAAATATTTTTTAATTTATTATATGCTAAAATTAGATCATGTTATAATAGTATATTTATACGATTTTTTTAAAAATTGTAAATAAATAATTTGAAAAATGCTATTTAAATTTAAATAGTTAAAATAAGTAATTAGTTTATAATTAATTGCAGATTTGGAAAGTATAACAAAAATTAAGCACTGATAACNTAAAATTTTTTTTTATTACTTTATTGAATTAACTTATTTTTAAATGCGAAACTTAATTAATCATTTTGGAATGTAATAATTAAACTTCGAATAAAAATTTATGCTTTATTGTTATTATTAAAATTTATTTAAACTTACGCTAGTAAATAGGCCTACATTTAGATTATATTCTAAACTTTAATATACTTTCTCATAATGCTTATTTATTATAATATAGATTTAATTTGTCAAAAATATGTCTTATGTCACATATGACGTTAAATTTTTGTGTTTATAAGTGACATATTACGTATGAACGATGTTTCTAATTTTAACAATAAATAAATAATATGGTGTTTTTATTTTAATTTTCTCAACATTTAAGCACATTTCTATGCCACGGTATTGAAAAAGATCGCCATTTAAAAGACATAAATTGAAATCTTACTTTTAAGACTATTCATTATGAGACAAGATAATATTATATTTTAAAATATAATAATTGCCATTGATTCTTTTTTGAATACGAATGGTCTGATAGGAATTGGGTTCGAATATCTATCAAATTTTTTATGAATATGATAGTAAAATAATTATCCCTTTACTGCTCAATAATTCGGGAATACACAAAATTAACTATTAATAATTTTATTGTTTTTTTATCTAAAAGAAACTATTATTTAATCATAAAAACCTTACATATTTTAAAAAAAAACTTACGAAGGGAATTTTTAAGACAATATTTAAATTATTTTTGTATAATTTTTAAAAATTTACTTTAATTCAAAAAAAAAAAATTAAAAGAAAAATAGTTTCTACATACTTTTTAAAAGTTTATATTTCAGTAATAAATGAACCATTTCAGGTCAAAAAGGCACTGAAGAAATGTGTGCGTGATGTCATTCTCGTAACTATAGATGATAATAATCTGGATGATGTCATTAAATTATAGTTTCCTAAGAGTATTTTGTAATAGCATGATCCCAAAATTACGTAACGCTACACGTGGTTTGTTTGAGGAGGATAAATTAATTCATTTAATGATTAATACGTTAAATATAAATAAATAAGATAAATTTTCTCTGGGAACGATTTTTATTAATTTACTTTGATTATTATTTTTTTGTTAACTCTCTTCCCTGTGGGCACTAAGAGGGCCTTTTACAGCAAGTCCGTTATGGGTTCACCAGGCTCATAATAGGGAGGCCGGGTGATGAGAGACAGGGCCCAACATTGATTATTTTTATTTAAAAAATATAAAATACTGAAAATCCAATTTAATTTTTAATTTTTTACTAACAATATTTTTATATAATAATAATAGGAAATAATAGTAATAATGATAAATTGTAAAGCTTTATTATTTAACAAGATAGGATTTTAATGGTAAGAGAAGAATTTAAAGTTGATTCAAATTCTGTTATTTTTATTTTTATTTATTTATTTAATTTTATCGTTATTACGTAACGATATAAAATGACATTATCTATGTATATGACAAAAAATATTTTTTAATTTATTATATGCTAAAATTAGATCATGTTATAATAGTATATTTATACGATTTTTTTAAAAATTGTAAATAAATAATTTGAAAAATGCTATTTAAATTTAAATAGTTAAAATAAGTAATTAGTTTATAATTAATTGCAGATTTGGAAAGTATAACAAAAATTAAGCACTGATAACTTTTATAATTATTAAATATGGAAAAACAAAATTTGTATATGTTTCGTCCGAAAATTGTTTCGCGACAACGCCATTTGAAAAAAGGAATTGGAAATTTGCATTTTGCACCTTTCTTAAATGCTTCTAATAAATGGATGTTAGAACGATTCATTGCTGAAGATATCAAAGATAATGAAATACAAGGTTTAGACAAGACACTTGTAATTTCCGATATGGTCAATTTGATACGAATGATTCAATCGACTAATCCGCTTCACTATCAAGAAGAAGTGTGAGTAGGCTATTTGTAATATGAATTTTAATATTACCTTTGTCTAATCTTTCTTATTATTACTCGCTTCTTTATTTTTTGCAAAAAAATATTAATATAAATGGTAAGCCGTTTTACCATTTAAAAATGCTCAGCATTGGCAGAGTGGATAAAACCACTGTTTGTGTCTCATCAATGAGCTGGTTAGGTGGAGTTTTCAGGAATTTTTCCATGTCTAACACCTAAATAGGGGAAGTTTCCCACAGAAAGTTCTCCCGGGAGACACGTTATCCTTGGCAGATCGTCAATGTGTTGTGTTGTCTTATTTCATTAATCCAATTCAATCCATTTAACTCGTAAGACTTTGTTTTTAAATTATTTTTATTCATTTTTACATAATAAAGTACAGAAAATAGAAATTTTTAAAACTATGTATGGAAAACAACATTACGTAAATGATCTCCATTTTTGCTTCACAAGCATGAACTTTTTATACGGAATTTTCATAACAGTTCAAAATTTCAGCAATTTCTTCCCAAATGTTATCGTTAAGTTGTTGGATGGTTAGGCTTATTGACGTATTTCAGGTCCTTCCTTTAATTTCCCAAAAAATCTGCTGCTGTCAAATCGGGCGAGCGTACAGACTGTACAGTGCGTATTGCTCTCTGCGTTAGAACAATGGAGCAATAATTTTAGAAATACATTTCAAAGATTTTTAAGCGTTGCTTCGTCGTTAATGTTTCCGTAATAAGTTTCCAGAAAATATTTTCAAAAGCTGAAAGAAAATGTAAAAATGTATAATAGCAAAAAATTATGTTTTTAAACTGTAATGCATATTATCAAAAAGTTTATTTTTATATAGACAATATTTTAATTATTTCTGTATAGTTTTATCATTTTAATATTGTCTTATGCACTTCTTTTAAAATTTATTTTTAATAAAATTTTATTTTTAATTTATTGCAATCTCTTTAAATTAAATTAAAAAGGAGTGGAGTTTTGAAATAACTGTTAATTTTTAGCTAAATTTTAAAAAAATTATGAATTTTTATACTATGTTAATCTATAAATTAATACATATATTAATTGTGAAAATTCAGGATGAAATACTTTCAACAGTTTCGTGTTGTTGATGCCCTGAAACCAGAGGAATTAGAAGTTCAAGCAAATCTGATTAACGGAGAGCTTAAATTAGCTAAACCTCAAAATCGTGCAAAGAATATCAAGAAAAAGTGGCAAACATATCCCAAAGACCAAAATTCTAAACCAAAAAATGTTATTAACTTGAGAATTAATGAATTGGCTAAACCTTTATCTCGTAAAACTGTATCCTACAAGCAAAAAGATCTCAAAGTATCCACAGATCAAGCTGTGTCATCTCGTGTAATTGAGTTATCCAAACCTCAAACTAGAAGTTTTTATCGTAAGGATGATTCGACTTTACTATCTAAGAAATCTAAACCTAAAACAAAGTTAGAAACAACGAAATATTCTAAAATACCAAAAGAAATTAATAAATCCTTTAATATTATAGAAAAAATTAAATCAGCAGAAAAAATTTCATCAACTAAAGATATAAAATCTGAAGCGAAACTTAACACGAACAAAGATTCTTCATTTAGAAATTCAAAAGCAGCTAAAGATAAAAAGTCAAAAAAGAAATTAACGAAATATTCTAATATTAAAACTACCAAAAAGATAACAGGAAAAAACCAGTTTCAAAAACAACAATTAGAGAAAAGAGAAATATCTATTTCAAGTAATGCTAAAAATATTTCGAACAAAAATTTTTCAGAAAGAAATAACACAGGTAAAAAACCAAAGATAAACAAACCCGTTCAAGTAGATTCTAAAGATGAGAAGCAAGAACATCTTAGATATATTTTCAGTTCAAAACTAAAAACAAATAAAAAAATCTAAGATAAGTTCATCAAAAAGACTTCCTACACTGCACGAGGAAAAAGATTAAGAGGACGAAATGAATTTAATATATAACTAAATCACATTATTAATCACAGACACCGGTAATTTAATTATATAATTACTTTTCATTATAAAAATTGTGATTCATTAATTAAAAACGAATATTTAAATTCAAATTTTTTACAATGGTTTTTCTAAATGTATTCCGAGAATTTAAATAAATTATAAGAGAATCATTTAATAACATGAAATATAACAATTCATTATAAGCTAGCTCCTATTTTCAACTAAATGCAAACAACACTTTAAGGTGTTTGTATTTAATATGAAATATATTTGAATACATATATTGAATAATACGAACTTCCGATCTAGTTTCTCAACTTCCCTATCTAGTTTTTTATAGAATCAACGGTTTACCTATATTATTTTAGCTTATAGAAAATGTCCAAAAATCTTTACCGACATCAAAATTTTAAAGTGTAAAATATATACTCGCATATTCTGAAATAGTTGTGAGTTGTCTGAGTAATAAAACGTTAGAATATAACTGTGATCAATAGGGGAAGTAAGAAAAGAATGTAAAAGAAAATGAAAGAATGACTTATTTTCTTTGCTGCTTTTAAACTACAGTAGAACGTTCAAACTTACATTCATCCCTATACCACTGTGGATGAAGAGTAGTAAACTGTACATTTGTATAAGCACATTTATCACATTCAAGTCTTTTTCCACATTCCTTGCTTTTTTTATTTACTGCATTTATTTACAAAAGTACTGCATTACATAAAAGTAAGATCAGGCCTAAGGGGGGTTTCTAAAGTGCAATGTTTTCCTGTGCCTACAAAGTTAAAAACTAAGAAGTTTTCGTAAACTTGTGTTTTTCTTAATAACAAAAATTTGCAGGTAAATAAAAAATACTTTGAAGTTATTATTCATCTCGGTCTAATAAGTTAAAATTAGTCCGGATTATATTGAAGTTTGATTTATCGCTTAAGTATTTAATATTTACGTTCGTAAACAGATGTCGCTACTTGCTCATATATTTTGAAAACGTTTCTCTAAATATATAAAATTGCTTGGCCTGACTGACTGACTGACTGACTCATTGACTGATTCATCATCGCCCAGAGCAAACCGCTTAACCTAAAGAGGTGAAATTTGGTAGACAGTTAAGGTACGTCATGGAAACGCACACTAAGAAGGGATTTTTCGAAATTCCCCCGTAGGGGGTGAGGGGAGAGCATTAAGACTTAACCGGAAAAACGGCTTCTACTGTACTATTTTACATGCGATTTTTTGTTTTTATCTACGTTGTAGTAGGGTATGCCATGAGAATGCACACTAAAGCCGGATGCACTCATGCGGCGCGGCAAGGAAAAGCGGCAGAATGACGTCACCTTTTCTCGCCGCAGAAGTCGATTTTGTGCCGCTTTTCTTTTGCCGCAAAAGTTGGTTGAATTCTATCTTTTGCGGCAACGCTGCCAAGACGCGTTTCTATCAGCCAATAACAGTTTGTCTCGTAGTCACGTGAGAAAATACAATCACGTGGTGTTTTAATGGTGGAAAGTTCGAGGCGGTTAACCGAGATAACTAAAATCAGAATAAAGAGGAAAGGATAACAAATTTAAAACAAATTCTACACAAATAATCATATATAATTTAATTCAAAGAACAAAACAACCGAATCTTACTCGAAATAGTATTCTTTATCGAGAGATCTTGATCCACGAATAAGTCTATTTTGTACACCAGTTCTTTCTCGATCCAAAAAAGTATCTCTAATTCAAATCTTCGACAATTCAAGACAGGTCCAAAACCCAAGCTTACACCTCGAGATTGTGACAAAACATCAAGGTTTGCTCCACAAAACAAACATCAGTAAGAAAAATAAAACAAGAATTAGACTTGACTTGTAGCAGCACAACGATGTGGAGAGTTTTAAATAAATCTGCAATGTTAAAATTCAGAAAAAAAGCTGTAATGTCACCACTTTCATTAACGGACAAAAGTGACGACTTGATTGGCACAAAAACACATGACATGGTCCAAAGAATGGATTGAAATTTTGTTCAGTGATGAAAAAATATTCAACTTAGATGGTCCAAACGGTTGGAAGTATTATTGGCACGATTTAAGAACCGAAAAACAAATATTTTCGAAACGCCAAATGGGTGGAGGATCGATAATGGTGTGGGGTGCATTTGGATTCAATGGAACCACAGATTTAGCATTTATAACTCAAAGAATGAATTCAGAGAAGTATCAAGGCTTTCTTGAAGATGATTTATTGGAAGCTGGACCAAATATTTGTGGATCAAATTGGATCATTCAACAAGATAATGCCCCTGTGCATGCCTCTAAACTAACAAAAATGTGGTTTAAACGTAAAAATATTAATCTGATGACATGGCCTGCTAGAAGCCCTGATCTGAATCCGATGGAAAATCTTTGGGGGATGATGGTTCGTACAGTTTATGCCAATGGAAAGCAGTTTTCCACAATTCATGATTTGAAGGCAGCAATTTCAGATGCTTGGGATAAACTTAAGATTGAATTCCTTCAGAATCTAATTGAAACAATGACTAATCGAGTATTTAATGTAATTAAGTTAAATGGTGGTTATATTGGCAATTAAATTGTAAGAAAACTTTGCAATTTGAAACCTGTCCAGATAAATATGTAACAGTTTTTTTTTGTACAAAATTTTCAAAAATTTTATTTTCAGTGACAAAATGTTAATGTTTGATTAAAATTCTTATTTTTCAGTGTGGAAACATGTAAATCCATGTTATTTTTAATAAAACATTTGCCACTTAATGCAGAAAATTTGGGTTTCACTTTAATTTTTTCGTGTCCGTATAAAATTTGAAACGCACCTTACAGTATTTTTTGTAATTATACATATTTGTTATTAAAATTTGATATTCACATCTTGAACTTTTCTAAAAGCACATATTTATATAAAGTACCTTTGTGGCCCACTGAATATACCTAAATTTCTAATTTGGCCCATTAATAAAAAAGATTGGACAACCCTGGTCTAAACTATTATGATTACTAAGATCGAAACAATAAGACTATCATTTAAACTATCGAATCTCTTTTTATATCGGAGAGACAGTTTACATGATTTAATATTACCTCTAAATCATTTTCTATTTTTCTTCCTGGCGGAAATTCTTTTGTTTCTGCGTCGACTTTGGCGGGGAATTTTCTGTGGGATGGCGGGAAACACTATTGGGTGAAGGTCTCAACTTGGGTTTGCGCATGGCTGGCCCTATTTATTCTATTTCAATCGTCCAATCATCGGGGGCAATTTGGGTCATCTGAGAAGATAAGCAACAAGGATCTTCTTTGTTGAATCGATTTTAAACTTAACATCTCTCCTCGTAAACGACAGGAAATTCCCTCAAAAAAGAAAGTCCTGTGGTAACTCACGACTTAAACAAAACAAAAAAGATCTTTTCGTTAATTATTAAATATTACATTAATTTAGACACTTCAAAACAATTGTGATCCCCTGGATCTCACAGGAATTTACTTAGGAATAAAATCAAGGTAAATTTCCTTCCTAAGTAAATTCCCAATTTCCAACTGGTTTCTCCAACTGGTTGTGATCATGTAATCATTTCAGACAATATCTTGCAAAATTTGGCTAAAGATTTTACAAAATAATCTAAATTAAATCTATCGATTCTTTTAATATAATCATAAATATTTTAGTTCTTAAAATAAATTTTAAAAACAAAGATTTCGTTTGAAAATTTTTATTATAAAAATAATGCAAATATGACAAAGTATTTATTTTAATTTACAGGCATTTTTATTTTAATCCAGTATTAATATTTTCCTTATTTGTTTCGGAGAAAGCACATAATAATTCAAATAGAAGATTTGCGGCTGTCAATGCTGTATTTCCTGAAGGATCATATTGTGGAGAAACCTGATAAAATTATAAAAAATTCACTTTAAATATACAAATATAAACATCCAAACTCAATAATTACATATTAAAGTCAATCGATTGCTGGATTATATCGGGCTATCTAACAACTGCTTCTAGTGCCAAATTACTTAGCATTTAATTAATAAATTTAAGTATATATATATATATTTATATTTAATTTACGTTCTAAAAATTTTATAATTTGTTCATTTCTTAAATTAATTTAATATAAAGATTTCTTATTTATTTAAAAAGTATTCGGTTTTACTGTTATTTCTTTCAAATAATGCATGAATATTGTTATTTTTGAGAAATTAGATTTTTAAAAAATGGAAAAATATATGAAAAAAATTTGTTTCACCATTAAATAGAAAAACTAGAAACCTAAGTTTTTGGCTTATTTAATTTGAACTGTTTGTTTTTAAAGTGCAGTCTAGTGATTCCTCTTAATGGAAGGTCCTGTGTTACAAGCTTTTTAGCCTTTGACATAGGTATAACAGTTTTTACATTATATATTATATTTCATATTTACATTATCCTTTTATTCGTGTTTCGTATTTCAAGCTATACAATTTATGTATTTCATTCGTAAAGGTTCATAAGTAAATCAATTACAACCTATCTTCGATCACTTAAACATCGATCAACTACAGTGGTTCTTAACCTTTTTATACTCGCAGCCCACCAAATATTTCATAATTTTTTTGTGACCCCCATTTTTTTAATAATAATTTATATTTGTTAATTTATATACAACTAGCTGCAAGGACCCGCTTCGCTGGGTTTTTATTTGTTCGTATGTACGAACAAATAAAAACCCAGCGAATTACAATTGATTAAGATAAAATGATTAAGATACAATTGATTAAGATAAATTGATTAAGATAATTACACTTATCTTAATCAATAAGTGTAATTATTGATTAAGATGTAAAGATTGATTAAGATTGTACATTATCTTAATCGTGAAGATTAAGATAATTACATTATAGTCAATCTTACCCTTTTTCACAGAATGCAAGAATTAGATCCCCCGTTTCCAGACTAATTACAGACCTGGTCCCGATTCTATTTCTGAACGTCTCCTGTTCACGTCTAGTCAAACGAACTATTTTTAACGATTTTGGAACGTTTACAATCGTTCTATAATCGAACCAATATTCGAATTTTATGTTCGAATTAAATTCGAACAAATTCGAAAAATTCGAACAAAACATTCGAAATAGAAAGCCACTTTCAACCACTTTCAGCCTCATATCTCC